TATTTCCTTTAGCAGTGGTTTGTAGTTCTCCTTGAAGAGGTCCTTCACATCCCTTGTAAGTTGTACTCCTAAGTATTTTATTCTCTTTGTAGCAATTGTGAATGGGAGTTCACTCATGATTTATCTCTCTGTTTGTCTGTTATTGGTGTATAAGAATGCTTGTGGTTTTTTCATATTGATTTTGTATCCTGAGACTTTGCTGAAGTTGCTTATCAGCTTAAGGAGTTTTCGGGCTGAGTTGATGGGGTGTCCTAAGTATAGGATCACGTCATATGCAAACAGAGACAATTTGACTTCCTTTCTTCCTACTTGAATACCCTTTATTTCTTTCTCTTGCCTGACTGCCCTGGCCAGAACTTCCAATACTATGTTGAATAGGAGTGGTGAGATTGGGCATCCTTATCTTGTGCCAGTTTTCAAAGGGAATGCTTCCAGCTTTTGCCCATTCAGTATGATATTGGCAGTGGGTTTGGCATAAATAGCTCATTATTTTGAGACATGTCCCATCAATACTTAGTTTACTGTTTTTAGAATAAAGAGGTGTTGAATTTTATTGAAGGCTTTTGCTGCATCTATTGAGATAATCATGACGTTTTTATCATTGGTTCTGTTTATGTGATGGATTATGCTTATTGATTTGTGTATGTTGAACAAACCTTTCATCCCAAGCTGACTTGATCATGGTGGATAGGTTTTTTTAATGTGCTGTTGGATTCGGTTTGCCAGTATTTTATTGAGGATTTTCGCATCTATGTTCATCATGGATATTAGCCTGAAATTTTCTTTTTTTGTTGTGTCTCTGCTGGGTTTTGGTATGGGATGATGCTGGCCCCATAAAATGAGTTAGGGAGGAGTCCCCCTTTTTCTATTGTTTGGAATAGTTTCAGAAGCAATGGTACCAGCTCCTCTTTGTATCTCTGGTAGAATTCGGCTGTGAATCTGTCTGGTCCTGGGCCTTTTTTGGTTGGTAGGCTATTAGTTACTACCTCAATTTCAGAACTTGTTATTGGTCTACTCAGGGATTTGACTTCCTCCTGGTTCAGTCTTGGGAGGACGTATGTGTCCAGGAATTTATTGATTTATTCTAGATTTTGTAGTTTATTTGCATAGAGGTATTTATAGTATTCTCTGATGGTAGTTTGTATTTCTGTGGGATCAGTGGTGATACCCCCTTTATCATTTTTTATTTTGTCTATTTGATTCTTCTCATTAGTCCAGCCAGTGGTCTATTTTGTTAATCTTTTCAAAAAGCCAGCGCCTGGATTCATTGATTTTTTGAAGGATTTTTCACGTCTCTATCTTCTTCAGTTCTACTCTTAGTTATTTCCTGTCTTCTGTTAGCTTTGAATTTGTTTGCACTTGCTTCTCTAGTTCTTTTAATTGTAATGTTAGGGTGTCAATTTTAGATCTTTCTCACTTTCTCCTTTGGCATTTGGTGCTATAAATTTCCCTCTAAACACAGCTTTAGTTGTGTCCCAGAGATTCCAGCATGTTGTGTCTTTGTTCTCATTGGTTTTAAATAACATCTTTATTTTTGCCTTTTGTTATTTACCCAGTAGTCATTCAGGGGCAAGTTGTTCAGTTTTCATGTAGTTGTGCAGTTTTGAGTGAGTTTCTTAATCCTGAGTTTTAATTTGATTGCACTGTGGTCTGAGAAACTTATGATTTCTGTTCTTTTGCATCTGCTGAGGAGTGTTTTACTTACAATTATGTGGTCAATTTTAGAATAAGTGTGATGTGGTGCTGAGAAGAATGTATATTCTGTTGATTTGGGATGGAGAGTTCTGTAGATGTTTATTAGGTCTGTTTTGTTCAGAGCTGAGTTCAAGTCCTGAATATCCTTGTTAATTTTGTCTCATTGATCTGTCCAATATCGACAGTGGGGTGCTAAAGTCTCCCACTATCGTTGTGTGGGAGTCTAAGTCTCTTTGTAGGTCTCTAAGAACTTGCTTTATGAATCTGGGAGCTCCTGTATTGGGTGCATACATATTTAGGATAGTTAGCTCTTCTTGTTGCATCTATCCCTTTACCATTATGAAATGCCCTTCCTTCTCCTGTTTGATCTTTGCTGGTTTAAAGTCTGTTTTATCAGAGACTAGGATTGCAACCCCTGCTTTTTTTTGCTTTCCATTTGCTTGGTAAATATTTCTCCATTCCTTTATTTTGAGCCTGTGTGTGTCTTTACATGTGAAATGGGTCTCCTGAATACAGCACACCAATTGGTCTTCACTCTATCCAATTTGCCAGACTGTGTCTTTTAATTGGGGCATTTAGCCCATTTACATTTAAGGTTAATATTGTTATGTGTGAATTTGATCCTGTTATTATGCTAGCTGGTTATTTTGCCCATTAGTTGATGCAGTTTCCTCATAGTGTTGATGGTCTTTACAATTTGGTATGTTTGTGCAGTGGCTAGTACTGGTTTATTCTTTCCATATTTAGTGCTTCCTTCAGGAGCTCTTGTAAGGCAGGCCTGGTGGTGACAAAATTCGTCAGCATTTTCTTGTCTGTAAAGGATTTTATTTTTCCTTCGCTTATAAAACTTAGCTTGGCCGGATAAGAAATTCTGGGTTTAAAATTATTTTCTTTAAGAATGTTGAATATTGGCCCCACTCTCTTCTGGCTTATAGGGTTTCTGCAGAAAGAACTGCTGTTAGTCTGATGTGCTTCCCTTTGTGGGTGACCCAACCTTTCTCTCTGTCTGCCCTTAACATTTTTTACTTAATTTCAACCTTGGTGAATCTGACGATTACGTGTCTTGGGGTTGCTCTTCTCGAGGAGTATCTTTGCTGTATTCTCTGCATTTCCTGAATTTGAATGTTGGCCTCTGTGCTAGGTTGGGGAAGTTCTCCTGGATAATATCCTGAAGCGTGTTTTCCAACTTGGTTCCTTTCTCTTCATCACTTTCCAGTACACCAATCAAATGTGGGTTTGGTCTTTTCACATAATCCCATATTTCTTGGAGGCTTTGTTCATTCCTTTTCATTCTTTTTTCTATAATGTTGTCTTCATGCTTTATTTCATTTAATTGAGCTTTAATCTCTGATGTCCTTTCTTCCACTTGATCGATTTGGCTACTGATACTTGTGTATGCTTTGTGGAGTTCTCGTGCTGTGTTTTTCAGTCTATCAGGTCATTTATGTTCATCTCTAAACTGGCTATTCTAGTTAGCAGTTCCTGTAACCTTTTATTGAGGTTCTTATTGACCTTGCATTGGGTTAGAACATGCACATTTAGTTCAGAGGAGTTTGTTATTACCCATTTTCTGAGGCCCACTTCTGACAATTCATCAAACTCATTCTCTCTCCAGTTCTGTTCCCTTGCTGGTGAGGAGTTGTGATCCTTTGGAGGAGAAGAGGCATTCTGATTTTCAGAATTTTCAGCCTTTTTGTGCTGGCTTTTCCTCATCTTCATGGATTTATCTACCTTTAGTCTTTGATGTTGGTTATCTTGGGTTGGGGTTTTTGCATGGATGTCCTTTCTGTTGGTGTTGATCCTATTGCTTTCTGTTAGTTTTTCTTCTAACCGGCCCCTCTGCTGCAGGTCTGCTGGAGTTTCCTGGAGGCCCACTCCAGACCCTATTTACTGGGGTATCACCAGTGAAGACTGCAGAACAGCAAAGATTGCTGTCTGCTCCCTCCACTGGAAGCTTTACCCAGAGAGGCACCTGCCAGATGCCAGCCGGAACTGTCCTGTATGAGGTGTCCGTCGACCTCTACTGGGAAGTGTCTACCAGTCAGGAGGCACGGGGCGCAGGGACCCACTTTAGGAGGTAGTCTGTCTCTTAGGAGAGTTTGAGTGCTGTGCTGGGGGATCCACTGCTCTCTCCAGAGATGGCAGGCAGGAACATTTAAGTCTGCTGAAGCTGCACCCACAGTTGCCCCTTCCCCCAGGTATTGTGTCCCAGTGAGATGTGAATTTTATCTATAAGCTCCTGACTGGGGCTGCTGCCTTTCTTTCAGAGATGCCCTGCCCAGGGAGGAGGAATCTAGAGAGGAAGTCTGGCTACAGCAGCTTTACAGCGCAGTGGGGGTGGGGGTAGGGGGGTTCCCCACCCAGTTTGAACTTCCCGGTGGCTTTGTTTACACTGTGAGGAGAAAACCGAATACTAAAGCCTCAATAATGGTGGATGCCCCTCCCCCGACTAAGCTCAAGCATCCCAGGTCAACTTCAGACTGCTGTGCTGGAAGCGAGAATCTCAAGCCAGTGATTCTTCACTTGCTGGGCTCCATGGGGGTGGAATCCACTGAACTAGACCACTTGGCTCCCTGCCTTCAGCCCCCTTTCCACTAGAGTGAATGGCTCCGCCTCACTGGTGTTCCAGATGCCATCAGGGTATTAAAAAAAAAACTCCTGCAGCTAGCTCGGTGTCTGCCCAAACAGTCACCCAGTTTTGTGCTTGAAATCCACGGCCCTGGTGACGTAGGCACCCAAGGGAATCTCCTAATCTGCGGGTTGCAAAGATCACGGGAAAAGCATGATATATGCGCTGGAGCGCACTGTTCCTCACAGCACAGTCTCTCATGGCTTCCCTTAGCTAGGGGAGGGAGTTCCCCGACCCTTTGCCCTTCCTGGGTGAGCTGACCCCCACTCTGCTTCAGCTTGCCCTCTGTGGGCTGTACCTGCTGTCTAACCAGTCCCAATGAGATGAGTACCTCAGCTGGCAATGCAGACAAAAGTCACCTGCCTTCTGTGTTGGTCTTACTGGGAGCTGCAGACTAGAGCTATTCCGATTCGGCCATCTTAATTTCTCTCCAGATGTTGATTTAAGTATATAAATCTTTCCCAAGCCCTATGGATACTCCCACATAGCGTACCTCATTTAATTGCTGAAATGATTCAGACATGTATGAACACAGTTTCTTTCAAAACCAAGATGACAAACCCAAACATTAGTCTGTTTCACTTCTCCAAAAGACTCACCATTTAGTCTACAGAAACCTGGCATTTTAAGTAAATTGCATCTGCACCATGAGCTTCTCTTTATTTTGTAGACTCACCTGGCCACCATTTCTTTTTCCTTATGGGAGGCATATCCGCTGCTGCTAAGGGGCTTCAGAGGGGATGACAGGAAGTAGAGGTGATGATTGGTGAAGTACTGGTCAACCAGTGGGAGGAGAACCTGGAAAACCCACCACAAATCAACTTCCAGAAGCTATCCCAAACTCTTCATTTGGTTCATTAAAAGTGTTTATTTTCAGTGAGCAAAGAGCCTCTGAAAACTGGTCCCGTAATTTCCAGGAAATTCTACCCTTGGATCCCAGTTGCCATCACATTTTCCTTTTCTATGCCTCAAACCAAAGTCCTTGGGGGTACATGAAAGGAACAGCCACTAAGCGCCCAAAGAAATGTGTGCACTGCCCTTAGTCAGCATTTGCAGAGGAGTCCTATGGCACAGCTGCACTCAGATCCGGCTTCTTGGGCACTGCATTCAACAGAGGCACTCAACGGATGGCTCAGTGCCACCTCAAGCATAGCATTCTCTCTGATTCCCAGAGCAAGGTGACTCAAGGCCTTCTGTGCCTCTAGTCTTCTGAGTAGGGCCGTATTGGAAGAGATTGCTAACTAGCACCCAAATTCATTCTCCCCTTCTTCCTTTTGGCAATAGAACTCCACTGCGTTTTGGCTGGGTAGAGAGCCACGCAGGCAGAAAACCTATCACCCCATCTCCCTTGCAGCTAGATGAAGCTCAAATGGAACTTAAACAGGTCCTGTGCCTTCTCCTAGAACCTGAACTTTTCCTTGGCAGTCACGGTATCATGTGGTACCAGAAGAGCGTACCACATGTACTGTAAGGTCAACTTGTCATCTCTTACCTTATCGACCCCAGACATACTGCCTGGGATCAGTAGAGTGAGAGATGATAAGTTCTAGCCATTGGGATAGAATTTTAAAAAAGCAACAGCTTGCCTTCCCTTCTCCTTTCCCCTTTCCCACAGATGTGGTGCAGGTGAGCTTGTCTGAACCATGCAAACACAGGCCACACCTCCAGAGATAGTGGAGTAGCAAGGGGAGGAAGAACCTGGGCTTCTGGGTGATGGTGCAGGGCTAGGCAGCTGCCTATATCCTTGGAATGCCAGCCTCCTGTGGAACTGTTAAACGACAGAGAAATATACATCCACCTCACTGAAGCCATTGGAGTTTTAGATATCTTCATTGGATCCACTTAACCTATTTCCTAAATAGTAGAGATCCTAACAAGAACGTAATTTAATTAAATGCAGAGCCACTTACTTTGGCAAAGAATTTGATCTCCTGGTCATGGGGACACTTTTCAGTTTTCCCACTGCTGACAATGGCTTCTACAAAGACACAGATAACACAAAGTTGGTAAGAGTTACAAAGTAAAAATCAATCACAACATTTAGAAATGGAGCAGCTTTTCCAAAGGTTATTAAAAAAAAAAAAGGCTATCTGAGCTGACAAAATACATTTTACAAAGTACTTTATAGCTATGCTGGTTAGTTATTTCTTGTGTGAATTTTTAAAGCTGTTTCACTACCCTTTTGTCTACTTTAACAATCAGAAAGCAGCTTCAAGGCTGGGCGCCATGGGTCATGTCTTTAATCCCAGCCCTGTGGGAGGCTGAGGCAGGTGGATCACTTGAGGTCAGGAGTTCAAGAGCAGCCTGGCCAACATGGTGAAACTGTCTCTACTAAAAATACAAAAATTAGCTGGGCATGCATGATGGCAGGCACCTGTAATTCCAGCTACTTGGGAGGCTGAGGCAAGAGAATTGCTCAAACCTGAGAGGCAGAGTTTGCTATGAGCCGATACTGCACCACTGCACTCCAGCCTAGGCAGCAAAAGTGAAACTTCATTTCAAAAAAAAAGCAGGCAAGCAAGCAAGCAGCCTCAGAGAGGTTGAGTCATATGTCCATAGTCATAAAGCAAGGCAATCGGACAGTTAAAATAGGATAACTTGTGTGGAAAAAATGACAAAAGATTCAATCATGTCCACTAGGAAAAACATCTCAGCCACTGTTTTCCCCTAAAATCACGTATCTAAGTGAATCATAAAAAGTTACAGCCTGAAAGGATTATTTCTTGATAAAAGAATATTGAATTCTTTTGGGATATTTCATGATGATACTTACCTAAATGAGCAATAAATTCTTGAGCGGAATCAACGTATTTCAGGATCTTCTTCAAGAACTTATAGGCAAACCTCTTTTCCATGGAGGAAGCATCCAGCTCCATATCTTTCATACCCCTACGTTGGAAATGGACAGACCCCGGAAAGTAACAAAGACAACCATGTCACTCAGGTACACCAGCAGTCCTACCAGTGTCGAATTTAATTTCCAAATGTTAGTGTTTATTCCGACATAGTGACGTGATTCATCATTTGACTAATTTCTCCTCTCACCTGGAACCTGCCTGTGTGAGCACAGAATACCTATGTTACAATCATTTCTAAAACGATTTTTCAGAAAGACCTTTATCATTCATAAAATGAATAATGATCTGGGGATGTCAGAGGGGAAAGCAAAAATCTCTGCTCTTATGGAAAGAATTTACACGCTAGCTGTAAACAGACAGAAACCAAATACAAATCAGCTGGAATCCTAGACATTAATACATTTTATGAATAAAAGAAAAGTTAAAGCAGAATGAAAAGGCCCAGACCTGGGGAAAGGAGGGTTTGCAGACTGTAGTGTTAAACAGGGTAGTCAGGGTTGGTCTCACTGGGAGACTGACATTGCAATAAAGGCCTGAAGGAGATGAGGAAGTGAGCCATATGGACATCTGGGGAAAGAGCTCTTAAGGTGTGAGAAAAGACTGTGCAAAGGTCTTGAGGCAAGAGCATGCATGTTGAGTTGAAGGTTAGAGAGGTATGGGGTAGGAAATGGGGACAATCATGTATGTCCCTACAGGCCATCTTCAGAATTTTGCTTTTGCTCTGAGTGAGAAGGGAAGCTATTAGAAGTTTTGAATAGAGAAGTGACATGATATAACTTGCATCATAATAGGATCACTCGGGTTGCTGTGTTTAAAATTGACTGTGGTGGCGAGGCAAGTGTAGAAACAGGGAGCACAGGCAGAAGGACGAGGATAGTGGGTGGAAAGTGATCAAATTCTGGGGTTATTTTCCGAGACAGTCTCACTCTGCTGCCCAGGCTGGAGTACAGCGGCACCATGTTGGCTCACTGCAGTCTCTGCCTCCCGGGTTCAAGCAATTATCTGCCTCCCAAAGTGCTGAGATTACAGGCATGAGCCTCCGTGCCCAGTCTCTAGGTGTATTTTAAAGGTAAAACGACTAGGATTTCCTGAAGGATTGTATGTGGGTTGGGAGAAAGAGAGGAGTCAAGGTTTTTGGCTGGCTTAAGCAAGCGGAAGAATGGCTTGCCATTGAGTGATGGGGAAGCTGAAGACAGAACGGGTCTGAGCAGGAGTGGGGGAAGCTAGGATTTCTCCTCGGCGACAGGAACTTGCTTGATTATCTGTGCATCCAAATTCCTACCACAGGGTCTGGCACATGGTAGGCAACTCCTTCACATATGTTTGCTGAATTGATCATCTTTCTTCTTGATTTTCTATTTCCTGACTTCCTTAATCATTACAGTAAAGAGGAATTTTTCTTTTCTGTGAGCAGGTTATTTATCAGCAGATCACACCACAGATTCATCCTGGTGTTAAGAACAGGATCAAAATGACGACGGGAGTCTTTCTCAAATGCTTCCCCGGAGGTTATCTCCTACTGACTGACCTTTCCTGCTCGACAACATGGCAAATAAATCTTGTTATTTTTTGCATATGAGATACAATAGAAATGTTTGTATAGATTTTTATTTTTGGCATTCGATGGCATACGAAAGAAATGTTTGTATAGATTTTTATTTCTATTTTTGCCATTCAATGGCAAAAATTCTACAGGAAACTAGAAGAAACAGCAGCTTGCTCAGCAAACGTGTCTTTAAGAAGTAAGTCTATATCAGAATAAAAACACTGGCTTTTCATTTGACAAAGAACTCAGCAAGCATGATCCTATGTAGCACAGCCCACCAGCACCACCTGACCAGGGAGAAAACAGAGTCTGCTTTTAAGACTTAAGCAGCCAATGCCATCCTATATAAAACATTCATCTAGATGATTCTGACTTACATTTGAGATAAAACATCTTAGGACATCACGATGCATTCAATCTCTCCAGTGGAGTTTTGTCTTTATAAGAATCAATTCCCTTCATTCCAAGACTGTTTATGTCAGTTATGCTTGCTATTATTACTATGTAATTTAATAAAATATCATATAAAACAATAAAAGTCTGACGAGAACTGCTGATTTTATGAAAACTAAGATGCCTATTTTGTAAAGACCTTCAAGTGCAAGCTTCCAAATATGTAATTTTTGAATTAGGTATGGGTGAGACAACTGTCGAAGCTAAGAGAAGAAATTTAAAAAATATCTAGGGTACTGCACGCACACTGTTTTCAAGTGCTGCAGATTAATCACCGTTCTTTAAAGCAGCACAAATTCCAAAGCTTTGAGGTTGTATTATGGATGTGGTTTATAAATCCAACAAACAGAATATGCAAAGAAAGGGCCTTGGTCCATAGTACAAGATCTGTGAATGAATGCAGGTTTATATATTTTAAGTTACAATGAAATGTTTTAGATATGACTTGCAATGATTCTCTGTTGTCATTGATCTTCAAAAATTAATACCTAACATTTATGCTTATGTCAAAAAAAGAGGACTTCATGTTCCAAAATAAAAATGTTCCCATTTTAAAAGACAGTTCTCCTTACTTGGATGGGTTCTGTAGGCAGGTAATTAAATACCTGGGGAGGCAGGGGCCACACCCACAGCCCTGCCCCCACTAACATCACATGGAAGGAGACTTACCTGGAAACGATGACACCATTCACTTGAAGGAACTTAAACAGGTCCTGTGCCTTCTCCCGGTCCTTGAACTTTTCCTTGGCAGTCAAGGTGTCATATGGTACCAGAAGAGGGTGACTACCACCACCTGGGATCAGTAAGGTGAGGGATGGCATTTGGCTCTTCCTTTGCACTTCTGGGAGAGCATACCTGCCGCACCTCAGCTTCTTTAGGGGATGCTGTGAATCTCGCTTACCTTTGCTCTCCAGCTCCAGCTTCTTCTTCTTCGCCCAGATATTGTGATAGTTCTCAGCCACGACCTCCACCATTCCCTATGTCCCATCAAGAAAAGCCAAGTCAAAGAGGAGGCAAGCAAGCTGGCTTCCTACCTGCCGGGCTATTTCAGGCAGTCTCGGGAACAGTGCACCACTGAATACCAACAGCACATGGCCAAGGGCCTCCCATCATCAATTAGTCTGTGCTTATGCACCTCATTAGTTTTATAGCTTCCCATACACACAGAAAACAATTTCTAACTCTGTCCTTCCCTTGTAAGTGATTATCCAGGCAGTTGGATGCATTTATCAGAAACACCCATTTCCTCTTGAACCTGCATGCCGGCAGCACGTCATTTTTCACAGCGGCTTGCTATTATACTCCTGACCTCAGATGGCGAGTTGGGAGTGCGGGCCAAGAAAAGTCTAGAATCCCTGAAAGCCTATAGCTTCACAAACTAAAAATTATCACATCTTAAAGAAAAGTGCCGAAAATAAGATTTCTCTAGTAAAATCCGTTTTTGTAAGGCTCATAAAACAGTGACTTAAAAGAAGGATGTACTCTGGAAAGAAACTTTCTCTAAGGTCCAAGGGGCTGTTATGATGGACTTCCAGAGGGGTGAGTGCCCCAGGCTAGGGCAGGCCACAGCCACCAGTGTATACAGGAGGGGAGGAATGAGAAGCAGCAGTTTAGGGCTTTCAGTTTCAACCTCTTGCTCGTACATCCCTACATCCTGCAATGACTACCTGTCTGCACCATCACAGGGAGCTCCAGCAAATCCACTATGGGATGTGCGGGCTGTCCTTATGTTTTGGGGGCCTTCCAATGACCAGCAAGCACCTCCATTGAGGGGCTAAGTTTCACAGATTTTGTCCTAGCTGTTTTACTTATTTGGGGTTTTGATACAGTACAGTCAGCCTTCCTTAACCATGAATTCTGCAGATTCAACCCATTGCAGATTGAATATATATGGAAAAAATGTGTCTGTACTGAACATGTACAGACTTTTTTCTTATCATTATTCTCTAAAAAATATAGTACAACTGTTTATATGGAATTCACATTGAATTAGGAATTATAAACAATCTAGAGATGATTTAAAGTATACGGGAGAATGTGTGTAGGTTGGTTATAGGTAAATACTATGCCATTTTGTATCAGGGACTTGAGCGTTCGTGGGTTTTGCTATCTGTGGGAGGTCCTAGGGCGAAGCCCCCATGGATACTGAGGAATGACTCTAATGTGCTGGTGGTTCTTCCCATTGAGTCAGTACCCGTCATGATGTCCTTGGAAGAAGTGCAAAGCCTCCCCTTATTAGATGACTGGTTCACTCTGCTGAGACTTCCCCTGTGGCCTCTGCACAATGTGACCATCTTCAGTTTTCACATTTTAGTGGTGGTATGTTCTAAGCATTCTTTCCCTCTCTCCCCTTTAAGTCTTTAGAAGGTAATACGTCCTGCCCTTGAAAGCAAGTCAAGCTGTTCTGAAATTATCAGCACTGACCTGGAGCTCTCTGGAGAGCACAACATTTGAGAGGTCGAGGGGAGCAGGGCTGTAGCTGTTGCCCTAGGAAAGCAAAGGCAGAGTCACTGGGTTGTCATTATTTTCCTTGTTCTTATCAGCATCCCCAACTTCAGCTGTCAAAGATGTGTCCTGAAAAATCCCCAGGGTTCATCTCAGACGGTCCCACCTACGATGCCCCAGGCAGAACATGCCCCGATCCTCCAGGGGTTCCATCGGCCCAGAATGGGCCTCTAGGTGTGGTGTCCTACCTGGTTGGTCTGGGACACACTTCGAAGCTTCTCATTTTCCCGCTGTTGAACCAAAGCTTCTCCCTCTTTGGTCCTCTCCACAGTCCAGCCCACAGCCAGCATGGTTTTCAGGGACTCTCGGGCAGGCCAGCGATAAATTTCCTTCTCCTAGAAGAGAATTTGAGCAGAGGCACGTTGCAGAACACACCCCAGCATTCTCCCGGGCCCATCTCCACAAGGAAGGTGGACCCCTCTGTGGGTGGGGGTGCTAGTTAGCGCCAGCCTTCTCTCACAAGGTCAGAAGATCCTTTGCAGCATCTTACCCTAAGCACAGTCTTTCTGGTGTTTGTAGGTGTAAGACCTTACAATTTCTCCTGCCCTGGGAGGAAACGTGCCAGACATTATTAATGACATTATCTACATCCCTAGATAAAGAAGACAGGAACAGGAGAATGGCTCCTCATGCTTTAGTAGTTGCTGACGATGACACACTGTCAAAATACATCTGCATAAAGCTTCTTGTGAGCTTGGGAAAGAGAATTGCTTAGATTTAGAATTCTCTTTTGGTCTATGTACAATTTCATAGGTAGTCAATATGAACACGTGGATACATACGCCATTCTTTACATGTGACACTAGCTTAAAGCTTACAAAGAATCTTACAGATTGCAAGATAAGAATTCAGAGTTGAGTTAAACCAAATATGTTATTTTTTTTTTTAAAGCAAGAGACGTGTTCTTTTAACTATGTTTTCTTGAGGATTCTCTTCCCTATTACCTGTATCTTCCATTTATTAGAAATCATATTTGGCTGGGCATGGTGGTTGACACCTGTAATCCCAGGACTTCGGGAGACTGAGGTGGGAGGACTGCTTGAGGTCAGGAGTTCAAGAACAGCCTGGCCAACATGGCGAAACCCTGTCTCTACTGAAAAAATTAAAAAGATTAGCTGGGCATGGTTGTGCACACCTCTAGTTCCAGCTACTTGGCAGGCTGAGGTGGGAGGATCACTTGATCCCAGAAGGTCACTCCAGCCTGGGTTACAGAGCGAGATCCTGCCTCAAAAAAAAACAAACAAAAAAACAAACAAACAAAAAAAACCACAAAGACAAAGACAGAAAGAAAAAAAAAAAGAAATTATTTTTGTCTGAATTCTTTTCAGACAAAAAGAATTTGAGATGGAGCCGCACTCTGTCGCCAGGCTGGAGTGCAGTAGCGCCACCTTGACTCACTATACTACAACCTCTGCCTCCTAGGTTCACACTATTCTCTCGCCTCAGCTTCCCGAGTAGCTGGGACAATAGGCATGCACCACCATGCCCAGCTAAGTTTTGTATTTTTAGTAGAGACGGGGTTTCGCCATGTTGGCGAGAATAGTCTTGATCTCTTGACATCACGACCTTCCCACCTCGGCCTTTGAAAGTGCTGCGACTGCAGGTGTGAACCACTGCGCCCGGCCTTGTCTGAATTCTCTCCAGCAATTCACTGTGCCTTCTCCCTGCCCTGCCCTAACCAGACCCCTTCCTGGTTCAGTTCAGTTGCAGGAGAACTACAAATGCATTCTGGTCCAGCCTGTAAGTGCTGAGCAACGCTTCTTTCACCAGCAGCCTCTGCAAGCCAAAGAACAGAAAGTGAGGCTGAGCTCTTGGAAACCCATCCCGGGGCACTTGCCCACTAGCAAAGTTGTGAATAGTTTACTGAGTCCCAGAAGATGTTTTAGGGACTTCAGAGTGACTATGCCCTGAACTCCTCTGAGCTCCTGAAAAAATTACTCAAGGAAGGAAACAGAATGGCCACACAGCGTTACCAGAGGCCTGTGTCTTACCTTCTCCGTTAATGTCTTGAAGGGCCTTATCAGTGGGTGGGTCTTCACATTTTCATCCAGGGAAATCCCATATTTCCATCCATTCTGACTCTGTAGAAATGTTCTCAGTTCAAATATCCTTGGCACGCAAAGAACCCTGCTACATGACCCAAATCCCTGCTTCTATTTTCATTGAGCAAGTGGAATAATGGATAGTGACAAGGCTTGGAAATTCCCCTCAAAAATGTCTAATTGATCCTTTCAGGCCATCAGGCTCTCTGCCTCCTGAATCTTGAACTCTGCTCTTTTATTCCTTCTTGTTTCAGCTGCTGTCCTCTCCACTTTCTCGCTTGTGTTTCAGGCCCACCCAAAACAGGATGTTTCAAAAGGCCCTGGGAACGGTGCTTCTCAGGTCAGTGTATCTCCCTCACGGGAAGAACAGAAGCCAGGGCTGCAAGGCCTGGGAAGGGTGGAACTACTGCCACTGCCTGGAGGGGCCTGTTTGGCTTACGCCTCTTGCCTGCCAGTGCCAGAGCAAAACTGCAGTGATGCGTGCTTCCTAGAGTCACAGAAGTTTAAGAACTTTGAGACTTATTCAACAAATATTGGGTAAACGTCTTCTACGGTACATGCCAGACTCTGTCCTAGGCACGGCAGATACAGAGACAAGTAAGAGCCCCTGATTTCCATAACTCCACATCCCCGACTCCTGGCTGTTCTTTCTCAATCTCTGCGTCTGTCCATTTGTTAAATGAATGTATTTCCTAAGCTTCTGTCCCTTCTGAAGAGACATATACTCCCTACATGATCTAACTTAGGCCCGTGGTTTCAGTTATCACTGAGAAGTGACTAATATCAAATCAGTGCTTCCAGCGCAGAGCTCCCTCCTGTTTCAAACCTATTTAAGCTTTGCTTGGATGTTCCACAGGCCCCCCTCAAATTACTTCTCTCAATGTCACCTCCTCTTGGGTCCCTTGGTTCTTACTGAACAGCCCCGGTTTACACTCACTTTCCAAGCCAATGACATGAGGGTCCTCCCTGACACCACTGCCCTGCACCCCTCCCATCATTTGTCTGTTTGTCTCTCTCTGTCTCACCCACTCCCCTGCTAGTATGTTAGCTCAGGCCACCATCAACTCACACTGGGGTTACTGCAACAGCTTCCTAAGTAGCCTCCCAGCCTCCAGTCTTACTGCCTCTCCATGGATTCATTTTTTACACTATTATCAGGGGATATTAAAAAATCACAGTCGCCAGGCGCGGTGGCTCAAGCCTGTAATCCCAGCACTTTGGGAGGCCGAGGCAGGTGGATCACAAGCTCAAGAGATCGAGACCATCCTGGTCAACGTGGCGAAACCCTGTCTCTACTAAAACTACAAAAAATTAGCTGGGCATTGTGGCGTGTGTCTGTAGTCCCAGCTACTCAGAAGGCTGAGGCAGGAGAATTGCCTGAACCCAGGAGGCGGAGGTTGCGGTGAGCTGCGATCGCGCATTTGCACTCCAGCCTGGGTAACAAGAGCAAAACTCCGTCTCAAAAAAAAAAAAAAAAAAAAAAAAATCATAGTCATTTGTATGTACTCTACTGCCTTCAAATGTTTCTGTCAGCTGCCATCCTGGTAAAACCCAAATGCTTTCACATAACCTGGAAACCTAGGAAGGTGATTATGTTGACCTCTCCAGACTCATTTTTCACCCTCTGTCCCCATCCTACTCGACGTTCTAGCTATACTGAAGCATGGTTCCCTAAAGCCAAACTGTCTCTTGCCTCCCTGTGTCGGCACCTGCTGTTCCCAAGGCCTGCAGTGCACTTACCTCCTTGTGACAAATGGCTCCCACTCATCCTTTAACACATACTGTAGATGTCACCAACTCTGGGACCCTGGACCCTGAATACTGAATTAGGGACTCCTAAGTGCTCTAATTCTGTGCTCACGTCCATCATAGCCCTGAACAACTTGCCCCAGAAAGGCTGGTTCATTTTGTTTCTCCCACAAGATCATGAGGCTTTTGGGGGCAAGGAAAATATTCCTTTTCTTGTGCGATAATCAATGCCGCCTGGCACTGGTAAGCAGACATGTGTCCATGCTTTCGTGAAGCTTACAGTCAAGTGGCAGAAAGAGATGTCAATCAAATAAACATACTAGTAAATGTAAAATTGATAATTAGAATAAATGTATAGATGTGTAACTGTTATAAATACATAAGTGTGCTATGAAAGTACTATGAAAGAGAAGAATAACGTGCTAAGAGGGCCCATTGCTGAGAAATCTGGAAAAATGCCATCCTAGGAATTCATGCTTGGGGTACTATTTGCAGGATGAGTTGGTGAACACCGTGAGGAAGTGTGACAGCACAGGTGGGTGTCTGGCCAGCTCAGACAGAGGAGGGTTTCCGGCACGTGTAATGCATATGTGACAGAGAGAGGCTCCAAAATAAACGGAGGTGGCTGGAGGGCAGAGGGCAGAGGAGGAGATGAGGCTAGAGATGGTAGCAGAGGTCACATCAGGCAGTGCCTAACAGGCTAAACCAAAGATTTTGACCATTATCTTCAGAATAGTTACAAACTGTGAAAGGATTTTAATAAGGAGAAGGGGCTGGGTAGGAAGAGCAGTGGTAGAATATATATGACTCCATTTGTGTATTGAAACTCTGACTTTCTTGCAGTACGAAGAACAGACTGGAGCAAATGTACTTGGGAAGACCTGTAAAGAGCATGTCCCAGTCGTCTGGGTCAAAGATGGTGGCAGCTTGGACTGAAGTCATGGCATAAGAACAGAGACAAATATACAGATTCAAGAGAGACTCAGGAGTTAAAATCCACATGGTTGAGTGATGGATTGGCTAATGCTATGGACTCCTAGAGGTGAGTCGTCTCCCTAATTCACAGGCTGGCCAAATGGCCACAGGCAGAGTTCTTAGAAAATGCAGATGCTCTAGAGCAAGGGCCCGCTGGCTACGTCCCCTGAGTAAAATCTAGCTGACCACCTTTTCAGAATTAAGAAAATCTGGTTGGAACACAGGCACCCACTTTTGTTTATGCCTTGTCTATGGCTACAACAGCCGAGAAGGGTTGTTGCAATGGAGATGGTCTGGCCCTCAAAGCCTTTAACGTTGATCATACAGCCCTTTACAGAACAGATTTGCCAACTCTGTTTTAGAATCATGAGGTATTAGCCTGTTCTATAGTTACAATGCTAGCTACTATCATCAGCCCCCAGGAGTCTCACGGAAGGATGAGCTCAGCCTACATCCACACAGAGGCTGAGCTGATGGCTCAAGGTGTCCCCTCTCTGAGGGCACATTGCACGGAGGTGGTTTTCTGTGACTTTGTGGTGGACATGGGATCACTGTGACACACTGCAGGCTTCAGGTGAGAAATGGCCCCAATCCTTAACTGGCTGCCCACAGGAATCCTGGATAACTTTGGCACAGTCTTCCCACTTTGCCTGCCAGTGTTAAAGGGCTGATATAGCAGTTAAACGTATTAAACAGCCTGACCTCATGTGGTGAGGAATTTTCAACACCAGATGGAGAGCCTTATTAATAAGGGAGTGTCTGGGAATTCTACCACTGTCTACCATAAGAAAATGACTGAGTGTCTTCCCAAGAATAAAATCCAGCCTTCTAGAAAAATGCAAGGGTTAGGCTTTCAATTTCATTTTTCCCCCCAATCTGCATTCAAAGACAAAAATTAAATAGAAGCCTCCCTGTCCCCATCATGCATTTACATCAAACACATACAAGCCTGTGTTTGGGCACAAACTCCAGTAAGTAAATGTTAAGAAAGAAGTTAACACTTCCAGAATTGATCATTTTTTTGAGAAATACAAAAGCAACACCAGCAGTCGCTGTCACCTATTTCTCTGACATCTACCAACCCTGGGAAATCGCTATTCAGAAATAATAAATGCTCTTGGCATGGTAAGTCTCTCACTTAGACAAATCAGGTAGATTTCCAGTATTGAGTTCTTTAATGTTCTTGGGCTGTTTTTCCTTCCTGATGATTGTCAGTTGGAATGGTAATCCCTACCTTGTCACAGGCCCATTTATCATGTGAATGCTCAGCATACTTGGTGACGATGTATTCCAATTTCTCAGGCAAGGAAAAACTGTGAAATGAGGAAAAAAAAAAATTACAACCTCCCTAAGCACTTCAGCCAGATATAGAAAAAGATGGTCAGATTACCAATCAATCAGCTGTCACAGTTGGATTTGATCAGCCAGCTAACCCCAAAGCTAAAGCTGGACTCCAGGCACAGTGACATTCCTGATTAGGAGTGGCACAGCCAAGGTTAGGTCACAGACACTCCCAAGTCTAACCATGGAACATCTCTGCGGGATCCTTGGCTGGGCAGGCCTGCTGCCATCTGCCCTGGGTTCTCCTGCTTCCTGGACCAGACCCATCTTGGTTAGACAGAACCACCAAGGTAAGTGACCAGTCATCCTCTGGCTGCAATCTGGAAATGGTAGAAATGGGTAGCCAGAGAGCCATATGTTATGAAATAGTGGTTTTCTACTTTTTGGGCTCAGTGGCTCATGGTAAAATACTAGAATTTTGGAAGTATGGTAGATAACTGCTGTTTTTATTTTCCCAGAAAACAGCTCTTGTCCCTTCTGTTGGTATCAGAATCTCCATTCCCCCTTTGCATGGCACAGTCTTCCCATATTGCATGCAGGGTTACGTGAACTGTCACCAAAGATGGGCATATGACTAGGCAAATCAGACTTACTCTCTGTGGAATTTAAGTCTTGAGTAGTTGGGTAAAAGAAGGGCAGTAAAAGCTTTTTGTTTGTTTGTTTGTGTTTTTGAAAAGGACTTTCACTCTTGTTGCCCAGGCTGGAGTACAATGGCGTGATCTTGGCTCACTGCAACCTCTGCCTCCCAGGTTCAAGCGATTCTCCTGCCTCAGCCTCCCAAGTAGCTGGGATTACAGGCATGCGCCACCATGCCCGGCTAATTTTTTTTTGTATTTTTGGTAGAGACGGGGGTTTCTCCATTTTGGTCAGGCTGGTCTCGAACTCCTGACCTCAGATGATCTATCCACCTCAGCCTCCCAAAGTGTTGGGATAACAGGCATGAGCCACCGCACATGGCCATAGGCAGTAAATTCTTCAAGGCGATTCACCCAATGGAAACATTTGAAGATTGTCCACTTGCTCACTGTGCCTGATTCCAGTCATTCCCTGGTGACTACGTGTGCTGAGGCCAGGTTAGCCTTTCACTAGGTTTTGATAATTACCCTGTATTCTTGCAATAAGGTGCTTTTCTCCTTAAGTCAGTCAGGGTTAGTCTCCATTCCTCACATTAATCAATGAACTACATTGATGTCACAGGTATATCTGAATAATCAGAACTCTCAAAATAACACAGAACTACTTGCCATTAACACACAATGGCTAGAGTACAATGTTTTCTCATAATGTTTTCAAAATGATCCAAGTTATTACACCATTTGCTTTGTCTTTCTTTAGCACTGTTACACGTACAGGCAGAGTTCTCTGAAGTCAGCACCTGCCCTCTTTGGCCCCAGCTTGATGGTTTACCATGCTCCTTACCTCTTTCTTACAGAAGGTTCAATTCTGTCCCACCATCCCCACAGCTCAAGGCTCTGTCCAGTGGAATGTTTAATTATCCCAAACACGAATTTTACACATCATCAAAGCAGACAGTCCCCCTGCGAAGGGTTCAGGCTTTCATTTGAGAACTACTGCCATGAAAGACAGGTCCAAGGGGCTCATATAGACTCAGGCTTACTTTCCCTGCTCACTGTGAAGCAGTGTTGGAGCTCTTCATTTAAAATGCACCTGGAGCTGACTGTATACCCTACAGCACATATTCGTAACTGGACAGAACTACCACAAACCAAAACTTAGCAATATTTTGCCCAAGGTATAAGCACACCTCCATGGCCTAGTCAATACCACTGAGAAATTCAGGAAAATCACAGGCAGAAATTAAAAGGCAGAGTGGTAGGGCTATTCCAAAGTTCCAGCATCTCTTGGCATGGCAAAGAGCAGGTTCATCTTTTCCAATGAGGACCCTGCACTGTTCTGCCAACGCACCCTAGCCTTGCCAGGGCTCAGCTGAGTGTTACTTACGGAGCTATTGTGATATATGATGCTATTAGAACCATATGGGCCTAATTCACTAAGAGTAAAGATTTTGTCAAAAAGCTCATTAATAAATTAATTGCATAATTTGTCTGAGTAGTTCTCTCAGTGCCTCAGGAGACATTTATTTGTGGGAGCATCCATCTCTTGTAATAAATAAACCAAGCCTTTTCTCCCCGACCAAAAACCCATAATATAATAATACAGATATGTATGGATTAAATCTTGTGCCTGATGGGACTTGTCATGTCAACAGAAATAACGAACAGTGTTGGCAGGAGGGAAAGAGGCAAAGCTCACATTTCCTGCTACCATCTGGAAGAAAACATTGGCTACTGGACAAAACACGGGAGCGGCTTAGAGAGGATTCTGGCTTACTTCATGGTATTGATAGGTTTTGGGTCAAAGTTGCCATCTGCATCCACTGAGATCTGTTTCTCCAGCGTGGCTGTGATTCTGGTATCTAAATAATCTGGTGGCAAGGCGCCAGCTATCGCACTGAGACAAGGCAGGGCCATTCGGAAAAGATCTGGGTCATATTTCTGTGAGGAAAGATTAAGTCCACGTTAGTAGAGAAAGCAGAACCATGCCCTTAGACAGAACCATTCACCAATCAGTTGAAAGCACAAATAAAATGCAGGCATTTATCTGGGTTAACCAAAATGAAAAATGTTTAACACCAGAAATATGTGGAAATGAAGGTATTCTTGGGGGATTAAAAAAACCAACAACAACACTCTATAAAGCCCTCAAGTCACCATTTGCTTTAAGTTGAAAAATCTTAAACAGGTTTAAATCAATATCTCCTAAATGGTTAATTTCAAGACTACCTAAGGGTTAAAGTAGTTCTCACTAGGCCAGAAATGACTATCAACTTGTCTGCTAAGGATGGTCATAGAAATAGACCCAGCCTGCAGCTGGATGGAGCAGAGCTCTGCAGTAGCTGATATGGGTCATATGTTGACATCATCTGCAGGTCACTCGATAGCCACCATTCTCTCTTGAACTCAGCCAGAAATGAATTTCAGTCAAACAGCATGGGGTTGGGAAGAGATTCTGACTGCTTATGCTCAATAGCATTGTGGTCTATGGCCATACCACCCTGAACACGCCCCATCCCGTCTGATCTGCTTATACTAGACCAAAAAAATCCATGGATAAAGAAAATCTAAGTGTAGGCGAACAAGCTATATGCCTGTTCTAGACTTCCCTAAGAAAACCAGACCTACTCATTTTCTACCGTTCAAGCTGGTGACTTCACAAATCGGGTTAGGTGAAGTGGAGCAAAGCCCAAGAGTCAGAACTCTACGTCAATCACACTGTTCGGTAAGGCCTGGGGCTCAGAGGCTCTGAGTTCTCACCCGATGCCTCCTCAAATGAGTGACTGCGAAGAACCTCTTCTAGAATGGCTTCAGGTCTTCTGGAAATCCCCTTTCCCACCCTCACAGCAGATGCCAGGACTTTCCCTCCTGGCTCGAGCTTAGTGAAGGTTGGCAGACAGGAGCCACACCAAATGTGGGGGGAAGGAATAGGGAGGTAAGACATCAAGACTGACACCAAATAATATGTGTGTAATTCACTCTGGTAGTCATTTTCCCATGTACAGCTTTCTAAATGTGAAAATTTATTCAATACTCTGAGGCTTCTCTTCACCTGTAAAATAAGGATTTTGCAAGTTTCCGTTTCAGAGAGATGGGTAAGGATTAGTTTAATATGCTTGTGAAGTCCTGGCAAATGGAAAGCTAAATAGATGATGGCTGTTATTATGTGTAGGTGCTGGGCACTGAGATTCTTTTTGTTCAGAAAGTACTGTCATTACCTTATGGGAGAGAGAGTCAAAAATCCCCCAGAAAAGCTTCTCTGTTAGGTGCAGCTCTTCTTCCACAGCTAGCCCATAGCTCCCCCATCCTGAAGGCAGGCAGTAATACTTCCAGCACTGTTCATAGTGATTCGTCAGAAGCTGGCAAGTTCAGAAGAGGATGGCGTTGGCAGGGTGGGATAGAGAAAGTCCACGGGCATCAAAAACGTGCAGGAGAGAAAAAAATAGCAAGCAGAGACCGTGAGAATGAAGCATGAGAAACAGCTGGGCTGTCTACAGAGGCCCTTCAAGCGCCGCTGGGAACAGTCTGCTCTCTGCCTAATGAGCTTGAGCCTGAGCTGATCCACCTGATTAATTCTTGTGCCTCCTAATGTGCCCCTAGCAGTTACTAGAAAATGGAGAACTGTTTCCACTTCGAACAAGAAAGTGCCACCTTCTGAAAGTAGTCACTGTGTGCTGTTCTAACCAGTCAGGGGTGGAAAGAATTTCTTCTGGGACCTTTGCTTGTAATTCTGGAAGATCTTGGGGGAATGCCGATATGAGGAGAGGACAGCGGGCAGCAAGTTGTGGGTCTGAAGATTTTCTCTACATCAATTACTACCCGTTGTTTTCTTGCCCCTGCCCCCTGGGTTCCTCCCTCCACACTGTCTTTATCACAGCCTGCTGATTTGACAGTGGTTTCACATCTTGCCAGTAGAGGGCGGAAGTATACCAGTGAGGTTTCCATACCAGCAGGTGTGATCCACGTCCTCTAAGAAAAATCCCACTGATATGAGCGGTAAAAGTGAGCTTATTCAGTATTACCAATAATGTCTCTTCAAAGCCAGCATCCAGCTGGCGGCAAAGGATTTCAGAGGAAGCAATATCAAATTAAGCTGTGCACACTATGGTTTTCAGTTGAAGTATTTTTTTTGACATTAAAAATGGGGTTGCTAGAGAGAAGAATTAGTCCTTGGAGGGCTGTAGAATCTCTGATAACACATAAAGTGTTTTCTGCCTGGTATGGAGACAGGGGATTGAACTAAAGGCCTCTGAGAATTCTGGGTATCCCAGTAGAATGCTTTCTGAAATACTTGCTTGGACTATAAGGAAAAGTGCTGTGAAAAGCATTAGGTAGGATTTTCAGGTGTGGCCAGCCATTGCTAACACTTTTGCATACGGGAATATGGCAAGTGCCTCAGCGATGAAGGGTAAAACGATGGTGTGCGTGGGTGGGTGGCTGATGCGGGCCCCCTCTCACCAGGTCCAGATGCCTCTAGTGAGAAAATAGTTGTAAATTATGAGAAAACCAGAAAAAAGGCAATAAAAAAAGGGAAGGCCAGCCATGGTGGTTCACACCTGCTGTAATCCCAGCACTTTGGGAAACTGAGGAAGTGGGGTTGCTTGAGCTCAGGGCTGTAGTAAGCTGCGGCTGTGCCACTGCACTCAAGTGTGGGTCAGAGAGTGAGACCAAGGGGTCACTGAAAGAGAGGGGTCTTTGGTTCTTTTTTTATTGGCAAGAGAGAGGGGTCTGTGGGTTTTTAATTAAGAAAGACAGCCAGGTGCAGTGGCTCACACCTGTAATCTCAGCACCTTGGGAGGCTGAGGCGGGAGGATCACTTGAGCTCAGGAGTTTGAGACCAGCCTGGCCAACATGGTGAAACCCTGTTTCTACTAAAAACAAAACAAAAACAAAAACAAAACAAAAAACAAAATTAGCCGGGCGTGGTGGCATGTTCCTGTAGTCCCAGCTTCTCTGGAGGCTGAGGCAGGAGAACTGCTTGAACCTGGGAGGTGGAGGTTGTAGTGAGCTAAGATCACACTACTGCATTTCAGCCTGGGTGACAGAGCAAGACTCCATCTCATTAAAAAAAAAAAAAAAAAAAAAGGGGGAAAAAAAAAAAAATTTCTTACAAAGAAGAAAAGCACAAAACAGCATGGAATAGAAAAGGGACACTTTAATCCATTTAATGAAAAACCACATGCACTTCAAAGCTTTTTTGAGAGGAACACATTCTGAAACCTAATTATAGCGGGAAAGCACAAAATCTAAGTCCCCATACTAACTGCGGCTAAATATCAAGTAGTCAGTGGAAAGCAGTTAAAGAAAATCAGAGCAATTTTATTCAACCTTGACATTCAAGAAAAGACTTGGTTTTGGGATGTATCTTGTTAGCTAACCATCAATTTAAGGGAGTAAAATCCATTTAGCATGTAATTTTACCTCCAAACTGTGAAGACATCACATTATTAGAATGCAAGTTTCCTGTGCAATAGACTGTATTTCTGTAACAACAGTGATGTTTACCTTGAGAGGCATTTTGCAGTATTCATTGAGTTGTGGCACATCAAAAACGAGGCGTCGCAGGAGCTGCTGTAACATGGAAGGCCTCAAGTGGCTGCAGCATGAAATCAGAAACATAGAAAAACAGAATGAAAAAATAAGGGAAATAATAAAGGAGGAATGAAAGAAACACTCAACAAGACGCATATATTACAGCCAAGTCGCAAAACGACTGGCTACTAATACCCAAGATCTTAGATAAACAAGAGATGATAAAACACTTTAAAACTGAGTACAGTTAAAATTCAGAACAAGAGTGCTAATGAATTGGGATACGCAAGGTGGAATTCCAATTGTTATGTGATAAAATGTTCTGGGATCTATACGTACTCAAAATATATTCACTGACTATGTGCAAAGAATATAACAGAAAGAAGGTGCAGTGAATTCCATAGTCGTCTCTAAGGGCTGCTGAACTCTGCAGAGGGAGAAACTGGAGTGGAGCAGCTGCACAGGTGGAATCTGAGGCCACCTACTGGTGTGATTTGAAGAGAATTTTAAAGCCCTCTGCCTTACAATCTGGTCCATGAAGTTCTCACTACTGGAATCATTTGGTTCGGGTAAGGTTTTCTCCTCAAAACAACTCCACTGATAGGCAAATCCAGTAACTAATTAAAGAATAATCTATCAAATTACAGAGTTCATGGCACAAATAAATTTTGAGTAGAGAAAGGAGAGGTAAGCAACACTGACTTAGCTTTTTTACATTGCCAAACTTTAAAATAAAAACCTTGTGGAACCTGTGGTTTTCTGCAGAGAAAGGGGTACACACATAATATATAAGTTCAGCTCATGAATCCCTGAATTTTTTCCACTACTGCCTAAGTAGCTACAGAGGGAAAGCTAACATTCCTTTGTTAAATGTCAGAATGCCAGGGAAGAAATCCTTGGAGCATCTCCAAAGGAAGGATGTGTGCAGATGGAGAACAAAAGTCATCTGCTTCACAACTGTTTCTGGAGCTGGCCGTAGGATAAAAAGCCCTGGGGTGAAAATATACAGTGAGTAAGTAGCCTTGTCTCTGAATCTAACAATGAGAATGCAAAAATCACTGAATGTTTCACATTACTGTTCACCTATTAGCAATTATCACCTAAGATTCACCAACTTGAGTACCATCAAAGAGTGTAATCAATCCGTAATTCTACAAATTCCTGACTTATTAAAATAAACAATGAAAAAATCTAGTTAAGTATCAGTTTGCCTACTACACCTAGAGCTCAAGTGGTCAAGAAGAAAAACTCTAAAAGTACCTTAATAGGGCTGTGAACTCTACTTTTTGTTTGATGTAAAATTGTAATTTCTCAGCCTGGCGCCATGGCTCATGCCTGCAATCCCAGCACTTTGGGAGGCTGAGGCAGGCAGATCATCTGAGGTCAGGAGTTCGAGACCAGCTTGGCTCACACGGTGAAACGCTGTTTCTACTAAAAATACAAAAATTAGCTGCTGCATGCCGGTAGTCCCAGCTACTAAGGAGGCTGAGGCAGGATAATCACTTGAATCTGTGAGGCAGAAGTTGCAGTGAGCCGAGATTGCGCCATTGCACTCCAGCTTGGGCAACAAGAGCAAAACTCTGTCTCTAAATAAATAAATAAATCGAATTTCTCCAAAGTCTGATTCTTTAAAAGTATTTGCAGCTCAAATTCATCTCACCAGAGTGACTTTGTTATTAGGAAATGGCTCATGCTGGGAGGTAGGGCTCCTTGGTTGATGTGGTTTCTAAAATACACCTGGAGGTCAGCTCCAGCAAAAGGTAGAAGGAGATCTGCAGCTACTATTGATGCATTGCCAGCCAATTACAGATTAAAGCTGATAGAAAAGATTTCTTTTTGTGTAAACTCATTATTTATTCCATTTTCTACTATTGAGAAGAAAATAGAGGCTTGTAAAAACAACTAACGGGGCATTAATCTTCCTTTTGAAGTGGCAAGGTGCAAAACCCAGGTATCTTCTTAATTCCTAGAGGTTAACTGGTGTGTCCACTGAAATTTATCTCTCTTGAAAGATCAATAATATTCTAATTAGCATAATTGTCTGCCAGTTATCATAGAAACCCAATGGTGAGTGAAACAGTATCATAACACAGGGCCTGGTTTTGGAAGGAGCTCTTTGGGAGAAAACCCTTTTTGGGGCCTGGGTCAAGGCCTCCTTCCCATCATCCAGCCTTTACTCCCCACCCCAAGATAATACTACTAGGTAATGACACAGCCTGTATCATAAAGCAGTTAAAGCCTAGAGGCCTTAGAAGATACAAAGACAACAGATACATGTTACTTTTAGTAAGTATTTTAAACATAGTGATCACTGTTATATTTGAAATGTAAGAATGAGGTTATCCTTTTTAAAACATTTTAAAGCTTTTTGGTAACAAATGTTATTTTTCAGAGCAGTTTTAGGTTCACAGCAAAACTGAGAAGGGTCCTGAGAGTTCTCATATATCCCCGCCCCATACAGGTGCAGCCTTCCCCATTATCATTATCCCTCAGCAGTGGTACATTTGTGACAACTGATAAACTTGTATGTTATCACCCAAATTCCATAATTTACATTAAGGTTCTCTTTTGGTGTTGCACGTTCTATCGGTCTGGACAAGTATTTAATGACATACATCCACCCTTATACTGTTTCTGCTGCCCTAAAAATCCTCTGTGCTCCACGAATGTTCACTGCAGCACTGTTTACAACAGCAAACACCTGGAACCAACCCAAATGCCCATCAATGATAGATTGGACAGGGAAAATGTGGCACATATACACCATGGAATATTATGCAGCCATCAAAAATGATGAGCTCGTGTCCTTTGTAGGGACGTGGATGAAACTGGAAACCATCATTCTCAGCAAACTGACACAAGAGCAGAAAATCAAACACCACATGTTCTCACTCATAGGTGGGTGAACAATGAGAACACATGGACACAGGGAGAGGAGCACTACACACTGGGGTCAGTTGGGGGAAAATGGGGTGGGGACAGCAGGGGGTGGAGAGTTGGGGAGAGATAGCATGGGGAGACATGCCAGATATAGGTGAAGGGGAGGAAAGCAGCAAATCACACTGCCACGTGTGTACCTATGCAACAATCTTGCATGTTCTTCACATGTACCCCAAAACCTAAAATGCAAAAAAAAAAAAAAATCCTCTGTGCTCAACTTGTTCATCTCTCCCTCCCCCTGAAACCACTGATCTTTTCACTGTTTTCTTAGCTTTACCTTTTCCAGAAAGCCATATAGTTGGAATCATACAGCATGTAGCCTTTTTGGATTGACTTCTCGTGCTTAGTAACATGGGTTTAAGGTTCCTCTATGTATTTTCATGGCTGGATAACTCATTTCTTTTTAGCACTGAATAATATTCCATGGTTTGATGTACCACAGTTTATCCATTTGCCCACTTAAAAAAAATCTTGATTGCTCCCAAGTTTTGGCAATTATGAATAAAGCGGCTGCAAGCATCTGGGTACAGGTTTTTGTGTGGACAGAAGTTTTCCAACTCATCTGGGTAAAAACCCAGGAGTAAGACAGTTGAATCACATGGTAAGAGCATGTTTAGTTTTGTAAGAAACTGCCAAACTACCCTCCGAAGTGGCTGTGCCATTTTCACTCCCACCAGCAATGAATGAGAGTTCCTGGTTGTTCCACATCCTTGCCAGCATGTGGTGTTGTCAGTGTTCTGGATTTGGGCCATTCTGATCTGTGTGTAGGGCTACCTCATTGCCAAGATTACCTTTTGGTGTGATGTTCTACTCACATCGATGTGAGGACTGATGAGTTTTTTTTCTAGGTAGCCCTAGCTCCCCAATGCATAGTAATTTCTTCTGTGATTAGAGCAGGACTCATTCAGTAAGAAATGAAGGCCATTCTCAGCTGGCCCCTAAAGGGGAAGGCTGTCGATCCTCTCTCCAGGGTGACCTACAGCAGTGATTCCTAACCTTGACTGCATATTGGAATCACCTGGGAAGCTTCAAAGGCTGGAATCCTGGGTCCCATCCCTAACAGTTTTGACTTTTTGGGCTGGGGTGTGGCTTGGGCACTGAGTTATTTCATAACTCTTCAGGTATTTCTGATATGCAGCTGAGAAGGAAAAACACTGGCTGAAAATAGCAGATCACAGTCCTGGCCTGTGCTGCTAGGACCTGCTGTTGAAAGGTTGTCTTTCTTTATTCCACCAGACTTGACTCTGATTCCTGAGGACCCAAGGCTCTGGGAGTGACTTTACCTTTTACCCTCAGCTGGCTCTGATGCCCTTCTACAGTTGTAAAAATTATTGCCCTTAATTTCCCACTGTGACTGGAGATTTTTTTCTTTTATTTGCTGCTGGTCTTGGGAGGTCAAGAGATAGGTCGCTTTGATTCACACTCAAAGTCTGGCTTTTATGTAAGATGTGCTCAGGTAGAGGACAGACACATCTGCGTCTGGCTTTATCTTGAGAAGGAAGACAACCCTTAATTTGAACACTCTAGGCCTGAAATAGTCTTCGGGTCTATCAACCATAGGGGGTAAAGCCTGAGCTGTGCCTTCTCCCTTCCCCAAAGGGAAAGATGAGCGTCAAGGAAGAGCCTGTGGGAAATATGGGAGCCGAGCACATCCGATGACATGCTGGGAGGGCTGGTGTATGACAAAGGCCTAGAAGCTTTCTTAGACTGGACCACCAGTTTTCAGATTACATAGTTAAATGCAGGTGACCTGGATGCATACACAGAAGTAACAACATAGGATGTGTACTTACTTGCAAATGGCAAGCAGACATTCTTCTATAGTGTCCCTTTGTGCTTTGGTGAGGGAACGTCCCTTGGAAAGCCTGTATATTGTCTGCAGGGTAGAATCAATAAGAGAGGTGCAGTGTTCTGTTCCGGCAAAGAGCGGGGCACATCTTGTGAGGAGCGGGAGCACAGCAGAACATATATACCTATTGAGTGCGAGCGCAGCCTCTGTGGTGCTTAGGGAAACCTACAGAAAGAAGATTGTGACACAGGTTAACTGCCCTGAGGAACAGAGCAAAGCTGGCTCTGCACCGAGTTCTCATGTCGCGAGTTGTGGGAGCTCATACACGTTTACGATGCATAGCAAGGAGGTGAACAACTTTCTACCTTATCAGCAGTTCTATTTTTCTTTGTGCATTTTCAACGAAAAAAAAAAAAAGCTAAAAGAAAGAACAACAACAACAACAAGAAGACAGGAAAAAACCAATAACAGGCTGGCTGGCTCCGTCCTCCCAAATGATCCTATAAATATCCGTTCCCTTCAAAAGAATTTTGAACTCATTAAAATCAGCTGATGGCCAGTCTAACCCAGCATTTCGATGCCTGTGAAATCCAGCTGCCAGACTACTGCATTATTATTCTGGTTTTAGCTCTCTTTTCTCACCTCCTCAGGACTCACACACTGTCATCTTATGACTGTAAGATTAGTGAATGGTTATAGGCCAAGGAGTTTCTCAGTTTCATCAGTTTTGTGAAAGACAAAGTGGAACTCTGACTCCTTTCTGTTCATTTGTGAGCACCGTGAGCAATTCACAATCAATACTGACATGACAGCAGACCTCACTGAAGGGAACCTGGCTCTCTGCATGAGCAATGTGTAAAAGGAACAGAAACTTGGGACCTTCTATAAAACTCTAGCATAATTCTTGCTCATAATGTTCTTTTGTGTACGTTTAGATGGACAAGTTGAATACAAGGAAAATCCATTTGGTGACACTCAATACAGCCAAAGCACGCTTTACTACCATCTTTGAAAACTGTAGAACTTCAAAAGAAACCCTGAGATCCAAAGAGATGAAATATTCCCATTTCTTGTGATACTGCAGTCATTCTATCTGTAACACACTTTTTTTTTTTTTTTTACAACTTAGGATTTGAGAAACCATTTTCTTTGAACTATATACATTTCTCATTATTCCTATAAATTATCTAAATTATCAAGTTTGTCTCCTAGAAACTTCAGTAATCCTGCTGAGAGAAACAGCTAATCTTTCACATTTGTCACTTTAACATACAGAGTTAAAATGAGAAAGGACAGAGCTTTGATTGCAGACGATTACAAGTTTTCAAAAGAGAATGCATGAATGTCTGTGTGTTACGGACCAGAATGTAACACCTTTTTGTTGTAGATAGTGTTTGGACAAACGAGTGATTGAACACCAGATACCAGCATGGCATTTGCTGTTTATTTGATTTATACAAACATTAAATAATTTGATTAGGAAGCTCGGGGAAGTCCTGTGATTTAAGAAAAGTATTTTTTTTTAAAACCAAAAAATTTATAGAGCAGTTCAAACCAACAGCAGTGGCAGCAGCATTGTTTTAATTATTCAAAGGAATTGTACGCCCTAACACTGTCATATGCACCATTTATCATCTCCACGCCACAGATGCAAATGCAGCTCCCATTCAGGTTGGGGCTCATATTTCTTTCCATTTCTGGGTGACCTGTGCATGTGGAATCTACCCAAGTTAAGGTATTTGCCACTGACAACCCATCACAGAGGTCCAATTTCTATCTCTGTTGGACACCAGGTGGAGCCTTTGAGAAACCTTTTAACTAAAAACAACCTTAAACTGGCAAGATGTTGTTTAGACACGCTGATCTAGTCTGTCTTTTCTCCTTGGACCTAGGACTCCTGGTGTACCTTTTCTCTGCTTAGTTTTGACTTGTGGCACCTGGTATCTGAGCTCTGTAATTCTAGGGGCCTCTCTTGATGTCTGTGGAAGGTGAATTACCTTATTTATCTCACCCTTGAGTTCCAGACATATTTGCCCTTGTCCTCTTGTACTGGCCTTTTTCATGCCCTTGGCTTCAGACCTATCCATCCTGGGGGTCAGTACATGAAACTAAGGAGTCAGAGTGGGAAGAGTAACATCAGCCTATAATGTGGCCAGCCAGCCTTTTTCAAAAGCTATAGAGACATGGTTCTCACCTGAGGGTGCTTTTATCCCCCAGGGGACATCTGGTGATAACTGAAACTGGTTTTGGCAGGCATTTGGGGTGAGCTGGGGTGCTACTAATATCTAGTGGGTAGAGGCCAGGGATGTTGCTCAACATTCTACAATGCACAGGGTAGCTCCTTACAACAAATACTGCCAAGGCTGAAAAACTCTGCAATTGAGGGAGTTGGATTTGAGGGGAAATGTACCTACATCTAAGACTCTGGCCCAGTAAATTAAGATCTTCCATTTCATAGCGCCTCCATTTTATCACCCTCTAAAGTAAGCTATTAAAATGTACTTGGTGGGTAAATAAAAATTATTTGCTTCTAAGTTCAATGTTACCAATTTTACAATGATGGGAAAAATAATTTTTGTTATTTTTGCAACTTACTGTATCTAGAGAGGCAGAGGCTCTTAGGTCAGGTAAAAATCCAACCTCCAGCAAGTGGAGCAGAAAAGTTTGATCCTTAATGCCATAAACACGGTCCAAGAACAGCACCATAGGTGCCTTGTGGTCAGGGCAGAAGTTGGCCGCCATATCTGGCTCACTGACCGACCCATCTGAAAGACACATAGAAAATGTGATTTCCCTTTTTTCTATCTCCAAAGTCTCAAAAGGTAACACAGAGCTTGTCTGTCTATAGCTTGTTCTCCTTATAAGGAACAGGAATTTTGGAAAAATACAGGTTGAGCATCTCGAATCCAAAAATCTGAAATCTGAAATGCACCAATATCTGAACTTTTTAGGCACCAACATGATGCTCAATGGAAATGCTCATCAGAGTATTTTGGATTTTCAGATTTGAGATACACAACTGGTAAGTATAGTGCAAATATTCCAAAATCCCCCCAAAATCCAACATACTTCTAGTCCCAAGCAGTTAGGATAATGAATACTCAACCTGTATAGTGTTGTGCTGAAGGCAGCTTGTACTTTGTTGAAAATCCAATTGTTAAAATTCTAGCCAGTTGTTAAACATGCTCATTATTAAAAATTAGAATTTACAATTAAGTAAATATTTAAAAAGGTAATAAATACTAGAACTCATTATTTCCTAATGATTTCACGTGCGCTATGCTCTTGAGAGTTTCTTCATCAATTGTGTTTGTACGTCAGGAATACAATATCATCGTGTGCCACGTCCATTCTCTTCCCAACTCTGTGTTCAGTGACAACACATTCGTAGCTTGAAATTGGTCATCGTGGGAATACTTATACCACAGAAATGGGCAAATGCTAGGAATCAGGAGTTGATTTATTGCTTTGTTGATTTGAAACATAAGTGAGGGAGAACACATTAATGAAGGCAGATTAAATTGAATGTCATGTCTGTGGTTATGACATCATAAATAGAACAAACTTGGAGGACATATTCTTACGGTATTTGGAAACATTGTCTGATTTAGGTGAAACGTAGATCAGGTCATCCAAGAATTCTAATCTTAATCAAGAGGTTTAAAGGTGAAGTGTGGGAACACTATGAAGAAAATAAAAGCTGCTTGACCTGAGGATAAGACAAGATTTCAAATGAGGATAGAAAACAATCTTTCCTCTCCCTGTTTTGATTACACTAAAAACTAGGAAAGAAGGCCCCCAAAGGAACACACTGTAGCCACAGATTATTTAAATACTGTACTGGAAAGGTGTGAGACTCCATAAAGAACCCTGAGAGGCACAAAGATTAAGTCCCAGCCAGCACGGACCCTCATCCTGCCCAAGAATCAGCATCAGGCTCCGGGAGAGCCAGAGAGAAGGGACCTTCCAGACTTGTACCAGGCAGAGCTGGGACTGAATGGCTGAGGCTGACTTCCTCTCTCACACATGCCTGGTGTGGTAGGATATGAATTAGTGTTTTGTGTTTGGGAAACACTGAGTTCAACGTCTATTTTCATTATCCTAAGTTTTCTCAGAGATGTTATCGTTTTACTGTGCTTATAAAAATGTGATGTATTTCATAATATTATAAAAATGTGATGCATTCCACAGCATGTCCTAAATTTATTTGATCCCAGGCCCCTTACTGATAGGTATACCTATTAATATCTCCTACAAAAACCTTTCATAGAATATCAGTTTGGGAAACATGGCAACAGTTGGAATCATACTTTTCAATTCCTCCGTTTGCCTGGATAATGGGTGGGGCGACTCAGAGAAATAACACTTAGGGGAGAGTGTGACTTTTGCAAAGATAACACTGACTGATGTCAAATGTCACAGGTAGCATTGGGGGAAAACACTTTATGATCCTCAGCCATGAGGCGTGCAACTGTGGCTGAAGAGAGGCTGTGGGGGACCCGTCTGTCTGTGCCCCAACTGCCTACACAAGCTGGGGGACCCAGGGGCAAAGAAGAAGGGAGGTCGTGGTGAGAGCTTTCACTTGCTCCAGTCCATCAGCCTCCCTCAGAGGGCTGGCATGCTTGTAGGAGGACAGTGAAGTCTGTCTGTACCTGTGGGACACAGGGTACAACTGTCTTGGCACAGATGAGAGAACAGATTGAAGTCATTACTTCCTAATTATTTCACTGTGAATTATACTCTTGAGATTTTTTGCATCAATTGTATCTGGGTATTGGGAATACAATATAATGATGTGCTATGTCCATTCTCCTCCCAACTCTGTGTTCAGTAACATTACATTGGTGGCTTGAGACTGACCATGTTGAGAATGTTTATACCACAGAAATGGGCAAATGCTAAAAATTAGTAATCAATTTATTGTTTTGAGATTTTTTCTTCAGGAGACAAGAGAGCAGCTGGCTAGAGCTCAGAGAAAACTCATCACAGGAAAAAGAGCGAGACACTTGCCCTGTGCAGCCTGCCCTGCATTCAGGACCTGGGGGTGGCTGTGCTGGGGGCAGAGTCCTGCTCGAGCCAGTGGCTGCTGGGAGACCGCTGCTTCAGCCTGCAGTCACTGCCCTTACCTTTGTTGAGGGAGGGCAGTTTCAAGGGGATACTGATGATCCCAACCAGGTCTTCTGTGGGGACCAGGGAGCGCAGGATGGACCTGATGCGGATGGCTTCCCCCTTTCCTGTCTGGATGAGCTGGAAAATAGAAAATAGGGTCGAGAATGAGATTAGATAAGTGAGGTTCCCACACCTTGCCCCACCCACCTTCAAACCTCTGGCAGTAAAATGACTTAAGGGCAGGGGCACATTTCTATGTTTCTCTAATTGCTACAGACACCTGTGGCCACAGGGAAAGAGGAGAGTGGTCTCTTGATTTTCCAGAAAAGGAGCTACTGAGAAGTAACTGACTAAAGAGGTTGCTCGATTCCTTTGCAGTTGTTAAAGTGGCCATGAGGTTGTGGTATCAGGTCCCAAGAATAAGTTCATGGCCTGCTGGTGGCTTCTCAGTGTGACTACACTGCCAGGAGTGCCAGTGGCCATGATAGATATGTTGACACTATGGCCACAATGGCAGACTCTAGAATTCTGTGAAATGTAGAAATGGCTTATGAATTTCAATTTCAAAGAGTCTGATTAATGTGGGGGATGAGAAGTGGGCAAGAAGGGTGTAGAGAACGACAGAACTTGAAGGGCTCAGTGGAGTTATCCCGGCATGAACAGCCTGATCCACCCTGACAGTGACGGGCCAACCCAGCACGTACAATGGTGTGCATGCATATCCCCCTTCACACGCAGTCTCTGGTGAGGTGTAGCAGGTGTTCAGCTCGGAAGTAAATGTCATAGCTCAGGGTCACACCTTCCCTAGGTGGGCTGGATGGTAGGCTCAGACACAATGCTTGGTGCCACCAGGGAAAGGAGAAGGCCTGCTTTCCCCCCAACCCTGGTGCCACCTCCATCCCCAAGGGTAGAAAAGAGGTGATTGGTGATGATGGCATCTTTCCCTCACCACTGATAGAGGGGGACCCATAGGAGGGGTCCTGAGAAGTGCTGTGTGCATGTGTATGTGTCAGGTATTGGAGCAGAGAGGCAGTAAGGAAGGAAGAAGGGGCACCCCAGATGGGTGTGAACACACAGGAGTGTGAACACACAGGGGTCCCTGATCCTCCCCACCCCCACCAAGACTGTACAACACCCTAGCGTTTTCTGGGCTCCAAGTTTCCTGCATTTGCGTAAAGGCACAGAAATGGAAAGACAGGCCTACGTGGGTGAGGCTCATTTACCAAACGAGGAACTGGAATCCTAGGAATTCAGATCAGCCTTATCAAGATTTAGAGTTGCTTTTCATATGGAAAGCAGCTATTTCCTCTCTTAGGATGTCAGGCCTTATAAAAAATAAGGCTTAGTCTTTTAGCCCTCAGCAGAGGTGAAAAAGGAAAGGAAAAGATCATACTTTTTAGCTCAAAACTAAGTCTGAGAAGACATCTCATAAAACAGAAGACATCTCATAAAACTATCCTTTTGTGATGTTTGCAAAGCTCTATCTCTGGGGGAAAAATCAAACGCCATCCACAAGAAGAGTCTGCGTTCCTGGGGCCTAACGCCACAGTCATCAGGAAAGGGATTTTCCACATGGAGCATCCTGATGGCCATGATCCAGAATCGAGACACTCTCATTTTGTCCAAATTGAGGCATGTCAAAACATAATTCTAGGAGGCTTTTGAAACAAAGTGTGTAGGGGATATGCTCAACCAGTGCCATGGAGAAATCACACAAGACAAGGATCTAGCCAGGAGTCCCTCCCTAGAAAGCAGCAGAGGCAGGTATCAGAAGTAGAAACTACTTTTGAAATAAGCTAAAAGAGACCTAGAAAAAGGCAAGTTAGCAAATGCAAGAGACAGAGGAAGAAATGAGATTCTGGAAATCTATAGTGTTCTTGGGGCAGGCTTCTCAAAACTGTTCTTGGGGATTTCCAGCAAGACGGCTGAATAGCAACAGCTCCGATCCACAGTTCCCAGCGAGAACAATGCAGAAGGCCAGTGATCTCCACATTTCCAACTGAGGGACCAGGTTCATCTCACTGGGACTGGTTAGACAGTGGGTGCAGCCCAATGAGGGTGAGTCAAGGCAGCCCAAAGAGGCATCGCCTCACCCGAGAAGCACAAGGGGCCGGAGAATTCCCTCTCCTAGCAAAGAGAAACCATTAGGGACTTTTTCTGACACTCTGGCACTCTGGCTCAGATACTGTGCTTTTCCCACAGTCTTAACAATCCACAGACTAGGAGATGATCTCCAGTACCTACAACACCAGCGCTCTGGGTTTCCAGCACAAAATTGGGTGGCTGCTTTAGCCACAGGAATTTTTTTTTTCTCATATCCCAGTGGAGCCTGGAATGCCAGTGAGACAGAACCGCTCATTCCCCTGAAAAAGGGAGATGAAGCCAGGGAGCCAAGCGATCTGGCTCAACGGGTCCCACCCCCATGAACACCAGTAAGCTAAGATCCACTGGGGGGAGGTGCATCTGCCATTGCTGAGGCTCGGTTAGGCAGTTTTAACCTCACCTGTGTAAATTTACACAGTGACTGGATGGAGCCCACAGCAGCTCAGGAAGGCCTCTGCAGGCAGACTGTGACTAGGCTCCCTTCTTGCTGGGCAGAGCATCTCTGAAAAAAGGCAGCAGCCCATTAGGAACTTATAAATAAAGTCTCCACCTTCCTGGGACAGAGCACCTGGGAAAAGGGGCAGTTATGGGTTCAGCATCAGCAGACTTAAACATCCCTGCCTGGCAGCTCTGAAGGGTGCAATGGATATCCCAGGACAGCACTTGAGCTCTGATAAGGCACAGACTGACTCCTCCAGTGGCTCCCTCATCCCCCTGTATCCTGACTCGGAGTCACGTCAGTCAGCAGAGCTCTGGCTGGCATCTGGCAGGTACCCTTCTGGGATGAAGCTACCAGAGGAAGAAACAGGCAGCTATTTTTGCTGTTCTGCAGACCCTGTGGGTGATTTTCAGGCATGCAAGGTCTGGAGTAGACCTCTAGCAAACTCCAGCAGACCTGCAGAAGAGGGGCTTGTTAGAAGAAAAACTAAAGAACAGCAAGAAAGAGTTCCAACATAAACAGAAAGGGCATCCATTCAGAGACCCCACTCAAAACTCACCAACTTCAAAGACCAAAGATAGAAAAATCCACAAAGATGGGAAGAAACCAGCACAAAAAGGATGATATTTCCAAAAACCAGAACACCTTTCTCCTCCAAGGAATCACAATTCCTTACCAGCAGGGGAACAAAACTGGATGGAGAATGAGTTTGACACAGTGACAGAAGTAGGCTTCAGAAGGTGGGAGGTAACAAACTTCTCTGAGCTAAAGGAGCATGTTTTAACCCAATGCAAGGAAACTATGAACCTTGAAATAAGGTTAGACGACATGCTAACTAGAATAACCAGCATAGAGAAGAACATAAACAATCTGATGAAAAACACAGCACAAGAACTTCGAGAAGCACACATAAGTTTCAATAGCTCAATCAATCAAGCAGAAGAAAGGATATCAGAGATTGAAAATAAGCTCAATGAAATAAAGCAAGAAGGTAAGATTAGAGAAAAATAGGGTGAAAAGGAATGAACAAAGCATCCAAGAAATATGGGATTATGTGAAAAGACCAAATCTATGTTTGATCAGAGTACCTGAAAGTGATGGGGAGAATAAAACCTAGTTGGAAAACACTCTTCAGGATATTATCCAGGAGAACTTCCCCAACCTAGCAAGGCGGGCCAACATTCAAATTCAGGAAATACAGAGAACACCACAAAAATATTCCTCCAGCAGAGCAAACCCAAGACACGTAATCATCAGATTCACCACAGTTGAAATGAAGGAAGGGCAGCCAGAGAGAAAGGTCGGGTTACCCACAAAGGGAAGCCCATCAGACTCACAGTGGACCTATCTGCAGAAACCCTGTAAGCCAGAGGAGAGTGGGGACCAATATTCAACATCCTTAAAGAAAACAATTTTCAACCCAGAATTTCTTATCCAGACAAACTAAGCTTCATAAGCAAAGAAGAATTAAAATACTTTATGGACAAGCAACTGCTGAGAGACTTTGTCACCACCAGGCCTGCTTTACAAGAGCTCCTGCAGGAAGCACTAAACATGGAAAGGAATAACCAGTACCAGCCACTGCAAAAACATACCAAATTATAAAGACCATCGACATTATGAAGAAACTGCATAAACCAACAGGCAAAACAACCAGCTAGCATCAAAATGGCAGGATCAAATTCACACATAACAACATTAACCTTAAATGTAAATGGGCTAAATGCCCCAATCAAAAGACACAGACTGGCAAACTGGATGAACAGTCAAGACCCATCAGTATACTGTGTTCAGGAGGCCTATCTCACATGCAAAGATACACACAGACTCTAAATAAAGGGAAGGAGGAAAATTTACAAAGCAGATGGAGAGAGAGAGAGAGAGAGAGAGAGAGAGAGAGAGAGAGAGAGAGA